GGGCTGGGCTGGGCGGAAGCCAGGAGGTAGGAGCTTCTTCCAGGTCTCCCACAAAGATGACAGGAAGCCAAATGCTTGAGCTATCTTCCTCCACTGCTCTCCTCAGGTGCATTAGCAGGAAGCTGGGAGGAGAGCAGCAGAGATTTGAACTGGAACCCATGTGGGATGCTGGCGTCACAGGCAGGGGTTTACCCCGTTGCTTCATAGTTCTGGCCCAGGGGTGTTTTTGTTTGTTTGTTTGTTTGTTTGTTTTGAGATTTATTTATGTATTTGATGGGCACAGTTACACACACACACACATAGAATATCTTCCATATACTGGTTCATTTCCCATGGGATCACCGATCTCCCATGTGGGTACAGGGACCCAAGCACTTAGACCATCCTCTTTTGCTTTTCCAGCACATTAGCAGGAAGCATGGATCAGAGGTGGAACAGCAGGGATTTGAACCTACACTCAAATGGGCTGCCAGTGTCACAGGTGCTATTTAACCTACTGTGTCACCACACTGGCCCTGGCAGCCTGAAGTTTAAGATTATGAGAGATCCTGAACATCACAGTTGGAGATTGCAGGGTCTGTGATTTGGCAGCTTTCTAATTTCAGGAATTCTGGGTGCCAAGAACTTGTGAGGCTCAGGTTGGCGTGGGGTCCCTGAGTGGAGGCGGAGAACCTGGGAGCTTCTTAGGAGCTGCCTTGAACTTTCTTTCCCCACAACCCCAGTGCACACACTCTGACATGAAACCTCAGAAGCAGACTCAAAAGACCCAGTGGTGGCAGAAGAGGCCATAGGAAGGGATGGACCAGGCCCCTTGCGCATGCACTGGAGCAGTGGGGCTGTCACTGTGGGCACCAGGGAGGGGCTGAGCGGGACTCAGAGAAGGAGCTGGGGGCTTTTTGGAGGATGTGCTGCTGGACATTAGGACCTGCTGGGCATATGGCTCAGCAGTCGGGTCAGCCAGGCCCAGGGCACCCCCCGGATAGTGGTAGGTGGAGCCAAAGGCCAAGGCAGTGCCACACTGTGGGGTGCAGATTGGGCATGCAGTCATTGCCAGGGCCTCCCCCGGCTCTTTCTGGGGCCCACAGCAGCTGCACCCACGGGTCCTGGGTTCAGGTCAGGAGGCTCTGTGGCCAGGTCTGCTCTTCTTGTGTATAGCCTGTAGCCTCGGGCCTATGGGGCAGGGGAGGCAGAGCCCCTGTTGGGTAAGCTGAACCAGGGTCCTTGCTCCCATGTTTGCCTCTCAGGTCTCTTAGTGTGGACCTGTGTCTTTAATGGGGCTGCTGGGTGACCCTCCGAGGGGCCTGGTTGAGAACCGGATGGAGACCCAGCAGCCCAGGGAAGGAGACTGCATTGTTTGACCACCTCTACGTCAGAGACGGGCCTGGGAGCCTCTAGTGGTGCTGCTCTGGGCTGTGAACTGGGACACGGCCCATTGCTGGTGCCTGTGGCCTGCAAACCCACATTGCTCAGTGCAGAACTGGCCTAGCCCGTGATGTGGGTGGAGTCTGCTAAGAGCCTCTTGTCACCCAAGGGATAGGCTTAGGCCAGATCCTACCCCTGACCGGCCTTGTGGCTGTGTCCCTTTCTGGGTCTTGCTCTGTCTTCTGCAGGTGGTCAGGATCAGGTTAGGTGGTTCCTGAGTGCCCGATGTGCAGGTGGTTAGGGCTGTGGTCTGCTGGTCGGGGTCTGGGGGTGGGGGCAGCAGGTGGAGTGGGGCTTCTGAGGCTGGGAGGCTGGAAACCCAGTCTAGCCTTCCCTTGACCCCTGACTGGCCATGGGACCTTGGGTCAGGCATCATTTGCTTGTGCTTCTTGTTGTCCTGTAAACTTGAGAAATGTCTGTCCTTCGAGGCAGAGGCCCTGGTCCTTTTAAGGCTGGAGGAGAGAGAGGAAAAGAATGTGGTAAACAGAGCTACAGACAGTGAAATCTGGTGGGACCAGGGTCATGACCTTGGGAACCCCAGGCCGTTTCCTGGAGCCAGTGGGTAAGGGAGAGAGAGATGGGTCTGGCACTAAGAGAATAAGCTGGTGGGGAGGTCTGAAGAGAGGGAAGAGAGCAGAGGAAATGAGGCCAGAGAAGAGGGGTTGGAGTTGGGTGGGTGGGACCCTTTAAGTCTCCATGGGTGGTGGAGGTTGGGGGCGTGGGAGGAGCCCTGAAAGGGCAGGCAGGGGACAGGCAGCAGCTGCTCTGAGAAACCACTGGCCCCAGAACCCCTGGGAGCCTGGAGTTGACTGAGGGGGACATAGGGTCCAGGCCCTCACTTCCCCTGTGTGGGCAAGGGCTCCCCACCTCAGCAGTGTTTATCAGGTCGGCCCAGCAGGAAGTGGCCAGGACAGCCTCAGAGGTCTGAGGAAGGGGCAGGCCCTGCCCCACAGGGGGACAAGGAGCCTCATTCAAACCTTCAAGAGCTCCACCTGAGGTCTGTGCTTGTACCCCTGCCCCAGCCAGCCACACCCCTGCCCTGGACAGCTCCTCTGCAGAGTCTGCCCTGCAGGTGGGCCTGGCCCCCTATGGATGCCCCTTGCGATTCCCCTGGAGGCTGGACTGCAGAAGGGGAGGCCCAAAAAGCCACAGGCAGGATGGCCTGAACGCCAGGGCCCTAGATGCTGCAGCTGTGTCTGCCAGCTCCTTGCTGAGCAGGTTGGGGCCTGGGCAGTGGGCAAGATGGAGAGTTCATGGGTGCTCAGTATGCTGCTCAGGGAATGGCAGCTGTGCACGTGTGTGACAACGCTGCACCTTCAAGGTAGAGGGGATGCCTCAGCAGGTGACAGGCCCAAGGAGCTCAAGGGTACAGCTGGGCGCCTTGACACTTCATCCCTTGGGGCCCCAGTGACATAGCAGCTTCCTCTTGCAGGTACCAACAGCCAGAGACCATCTAGGGTAAGGACAAGAGTGACTCCCTATTCCTCTGGGCTGCTCGTTCTGAGGTACAAGGGAGCGCCCCGGATGTCAGGAGCCCCAGGTTCCCCAACCGCTGCCCTCTGACCTGCCCTGGGTCACTCTGGTCCTGGATGCTCCCTCTGTTCTGCGCCTCCCTGTTCTGCGTCACCGGCTATGTCCAGGGCTGCCCGACAGGGCCAGGGTCACAGAGGAGGATCTTAGGGACACTTGGCAGGTCCAGAGCAGTGGGCAGGAGGGAGAAGCTGGCGTGCTTAGTAGGCTACTCAGGGAACGTTAGTTGTGTACATGACAATGCTGCAGCTGCTGTAGAGAAGGGGTCCCCAAAGCCCCAGGGCACCTGTGACTGGGGGGTAGGGGAGTTGGGAGGGTGAACAGAGCTCCCCATGTGTTGGCTGATGGGGGTCACCTTTTAGGGTGTGAAGGGCCTGAGCTGAGGCTGAGGATTTGGGATACGGCTGTGGGGGTTAAGCTTGTGGGGGCGGAAGGTGCAAGTGAGGGCTGGCCCAGGGCTCCGTGAGCACCTGCAGGTTGAAGGTGGTAGAGTGGGAGGGGTGCTGTGTGGGAGCATGGTGAAGGAAAAGTCCCCAGGGCCTCATTTGGAGGTGGGTGTACATGGAGGACCAGAGGGAGAGAGGGCAAGGTGGGCTCTCGTGGTACCTGGGACAGACCTTATTGCTGCCACTCTGTTCCTCTGCTGGTGAGGGTGTGTGTGTGTAGGAGGTAAGTGTGTATGTGATTCAGGTGTGCGTGACAGATCCAGGTACGTGTGTGTGTGTGATTGTGTGAATCAGGTGTGTATGTGTGTGTGTATGATATAGGTGTGTATATGATCCAGATGTGTGTGTATGTGTCTATTGGGGATAGCCTTATTTAATAAGCTCTTAGACCCTTGGAAGACTGAGGCAGGGGTGGGCAGGGGTCTTTGGGTCTCAGTCTCTCATTCTTCTGGGTATGACTCAGGAAATCAAAAACTTTTAAGATTTATTTTTTTATTAGAAAGTCAGATTTACAGAGAGAAGGAGAGACAGAGACAAAGATCTTCCATCTGCGAGTTCATTTCCCCAAGTGACCACAGCAGCTGGAGCCAAGTCAATCTGAAACCAGGAGCTTCCTCTGGGTCTCCCATGCAAGTGTAGAGTCCCAAAGCTTTGGACCATCCTCTGCTGCTTTTCCAGGCTACAATCAGGGAGCTGGATGAGAAGTGGAGCAGCCAGGACACAAACCAGTGCCCATATCAGATCCCGGTATGTTCAAGGCAAGAATTTAGCTACTGAGCCATTGCACTGGGCTCAAAATAAGCAATTTCATTTATAGTAGTTCTCTCAGTACTTTATGTTAGTTATGCTTGTGTATTTATTTATTTTCAAAGATTTATTGATTTAAAAGGTGGAGTGATAGGGACAGAGTTTTTTTTTAAGATTTATTTATTTTTATTGGAAAGGCAGATTTGCAAAGAGGAGAGACAGAAAGATCTTTTATCTGCTAGTTTAATCCCCACATGGCTGCAATGGCTAGGACTAAGTCAGGTGAAAGCCAGGAACCTGGAACTCCAGCCAGGCCTCCCAGGTGGGTGGCAGGGACCCAAGCACAGAACTGTCATCTGTTGCCCTCCTAGACTCATTAGCACGGAGCTGTATCTGAAATGGAGCAGCACTCTGATGCGGTTGCTGGTGTCCCGGGCAGTGGCGCAGCCTGCAGCGCCCAAGGGCGGCCCCTGCACCTGTAACTGGATGCTGCTGTCCTTGGTTGAGCCTCTTCCCAGGGTGGTAGTGATGGGACTGCTACAAAGGGTTGAAAGGCAGGAAAGCCTCTGGCCAGATCTCCTGTGTGAGTATGGGGAGTGTGGGTGTGCAAGTTGTATACTGTCCAAGGGTACCTGGAAGGTGGTGGAGAAATAACCAGGGAAGGAAAGACTGAAACCAGGCTGTCTGTCTGCCACGTGCTCCATCTCAGGGCTCCAGGAAGAGAGGCCACAGGTCAGAAGGAGGTCCAGCAGCTCTTGGGGTCCCATGGTGGGGATCTACTGGGGTGAGTGTGTGTGGGAGGCAGGGGGCATTAAGGCGGCCTGGTGGCCATTGGTACCTGGTGCAGCATCCAGAAGCTGCTAGCCTTAAGCTCAGTGCCCAGGGTCCTTCTAAGTAGGACCAGCTGAGATCTTGCTACCCAGGATAGGAAGTGATTGTGTTGGCAAAAGGCAAGCAGGTGTGGACCCTAGGACAAAGGGTGAGTGTGTGTCATAGCGGTCTGGTGTGGCCTTTGTGACCCAGGCAGGGGAGATGAGGCCCTGAGCATGCTGGGACTTGTCAGGAACTTTAAGTGAGAGGAGTTTGGAGTGGAACCCAGACCTGCTCTGCTTTCCATGGCCAAGGGCCTGGGCCCGGGGCCTGGAACTGAGGGACTTGCAGCCAGGCCCTAGGGCCCCAGCAGCTGGGCAATCTGTGCCCCAAGGGGATGAGGCTGGGAGGCAGGAGACCTCCCTCCTTCATCTGCCTGTGCCTGCCCCCCCAGGACACTGCTCACCCTGCTGGACAGGAAGCAGCCTCTGTTGGCTCAGGGGCTGTAGAGAGCTGGTGTGTCCCTGGGGTGGAGAGGTCACTTCTGCACCTTCTGGGCCATGAACCCAGCCCCCACCTAGTTCCTCCTACTGACAGGAAGTATCTCCAGAGCTCTGGCCTCAGCAAGCAGGACTCCTGAGCGCCCTGGCGCCCATGGGGCTGGACTGTGGGTGGCCTCCACGTCCCCAGGTGAGGCGGCAGGGGTGAAGAGAGGTGCTGCTGGGACTCTGGGCAGCATGTGCAGTGATCTGGACCCGGGTGCCCTGCCTTACAGTGGGGTTGGGTGGCCCTAGAGCTCTGTGTCCCCGGAGGTGGTTGGAGGTGTTCACTTGTAGCCATGCTGCCTGAGTTCCTCATTTGGTGGGTGCTGAGGGCGTCGCTGAGGTCTGGGTGCAGGGGCCCTGCCCCAGCCAACTGCCTGCCTGACTGTGCTGGGCAGAGGAGAGGGGATAGGCCAGCTGTACCTCTCATGACTGGGTCTTTCCTTGAACTTGGAGCCTGGCTGTGCACAGGGAAATGGCTGTAGAGGGCAGAGGTGTCCAGCTGCCCGTGGAAGGAAGGGGTTAGGACCCAGAGGCAGGCTGACTCACTCGTGAAGATCAGAATGAGAAGGGGACTCATGGAGGCACTGGGGGGAGGCTCATGCCCACAGTTGGCAGGCCCTGCCCATGGCCATGCCGGCCAGACCCCCCGGCTGGTCCTCACAGGCTCAGCTCCCACCACCTTCCTCCCTGCCTCTGCCCGCTGATGTAGTTGGAGGGGTCCCGGGGCTCCAGCTATCACCTGGCTGAGCCTGCACGTCATACAACCTCTATGAAGCAGGGACAGAGTCCCGGGTGTTGGGCAGGGTGGCCATGAGGATGATTGAGATGTCGGCAGAATCGTTGTAGGTGCATGTAGGGCCCCCGGGTGGGATAGGCCACCTCTCCTGGGCTCCCAGTCCTTTCCAGGCTGGGCTGGCTGAGTGGGAGACCCTGATCTGCAGTGGGTGGGGGTGGCAGCAGGAGGATGCAGGGTAGGGGGTAGAGAAGGGACCCTAAAACTCTGCCTTTGGGGTTAAGTGGTAGTTAGAGGATGGAAGGGGAAAGCTTTGGCCACAGCAGGAGAAACTCAAGCCAGACCTGAGGAAGGACAGGCTGGCAAGCATTAGAGATTCCAGTTGACTCTTACTTATCTCTGTCCTGGAACTGAGTACCCTTGTGAATGCAGTCAGGCAGTGTTCCTCTATGGGAGGGAGTGGGGAGGATGGGCAGGGGTGCAGATGATTGGAAACCTCCCCCCGCCATGCCCCCCAAAGGCAACCAGAGAGGAAGCAAGAAGCAGCATTAGAGTTCAGCCTCAGAGAGCTGGAAGTCTGGGAGAACAAGCCAGGAGGACTCTCTGGAGGAGGTGACCTGGAACCCGGAACTGACGACAGGAGGGTGTGACTCATTTACTCATCATCAGCAGACAAGTCTGGAGACTCCCTGTAAGCAGCCCAGTGGCTGATTTGAAAAGTGACAGGAAGGAGTTGCAGATGGGGCCAGCTGGAACTTGGGGGTATGTCACCAAGGGTTTTGGCGAGTCACTTCCTTCCTGTGGGTACTCGCGTCTTCATCTGGGAACATCAGAGCTGGACCAGGCCAGTGACAACTGGAGTTACTCAAGGGCATTGGAGAACTCTGGGAGGTGTGAGATATTGGGGGAGGAGAGAGATGTTGGAAGGAGAAGCCAGGGCAAAATCAGGCAGTGGGCTACGCAGGCTGAGCAGATCCGCATGCAGGTGGGGCCCAGGGGAAGCCCCAGCTTGTGGCTGGCTGTGATGTTGTAACAGAACCACACTCCCTCTGCTGCACCACCGCCCCCAGTGGGGCCTCCATGATGGGTCAGCAGTTGCAGCAGGGCTGGGCTTAGGGTTCAATAAGTAGAGGCACTTGCCTGGGGTGTTGAATTCGAGAGGCACCAGCAGGTAGGTGAAAACAAATTCGTACCGAAAGTCCACAATGCACACATAGGAAATTGGTGGGAGCCCATCCTTTGTTTGCCTCAGGAAGATGCTCCTTCAAACTGTTTTTGTCAAGGAACAGCCTCCTTCAGGAAGCCTACCCTGCTGCTGGCCCGTTGAAGGCCCCTGGGCTGATTTTGTTGCTGGTGCTGGCTGATGGTGACCACTAGCCAGAGGTTCCCGGAGGGCCCGCCCCACTCCCACTTCCAGTGCTCTGAGCAAAACTGTCTCAGAGGGTGGTGGGTGTTGCAAGCACCATGTCCCGTGTCTGTGACCACCATGGCCGGAGGCCTTTACAGCAGGAATAGGAACTAGTAGTGTTGCAGTGGGTGACACGATTCCTGATTCCTCCATAGGGTGGCTAGGCCTCTGCTGGCATGTGTTAAGTCCTGTGCCCAGCTCGGCTCACGGCCAGTACACAGCAGGGTCTGCTGGCCCCAGAGAAGCAGGGAGCTGAGGGGCGGCAGCAGGGCTGCCCTGTGTGATGGGGGCTCCACCTTTCTGGTAGTCACATCGGAAACTGGAGAAACAACTGGTAATGTGATAGCATTGCATCATGCTCGTCAGTAGGAAGTAGTTTATTGAGCTGTTGTGCATTTGTTTTTGGTGCTATCTCCAAAATCCAGGGTTCAGGAACCAACCCATTCATTTGGGGGATCCTGTGTATGTCCACCCCCTGCACAAACCAAGTGAGAAATTCGGGGGGACCTCTCTACTCTGACCAGGAAGCATCCTCTCTGGCCCGTTTTTCTCAGTGTTCCCATGCACTTGGTGGTGGGCCCCTGGCATCTTACACTGCAGCCTCAGTTGTCCCACCTGTGCCCTCAGCCCACTTGGTGGTTACCCAGGGTTCAGAGAGAGGGGTGTCCCTGGATCTCCTACTCCCTCTGACAGGCTTCCCCAGGTATGAATCTGTCCCTGTCTCAGGTTCTCTGGGGTAGAGGGGATGAGGTGTCAGTCCCTGTCTCTGCCCAAGGCTGAGAGACGGAGGGCCTGAGGCCCTTTCGCACCTGGGCAACCCCCTCCCCCACAGTGGAGGGCAGGTCTGTGGCCCATCTCCTTCCCCTCTGGCATGCCCTCCTCTGTCCCCCTCCTGCTGGCATCTCTGCTGCTCCAGGTGGCCCTACCTCATGTACTCTCTCCCCATCCCTGTCTTTGTAGCTTCGTGCTCAGGCTGCAATGAAGAGCCCTTCAGAGTAGCTGCTGCCTCTTGGAGGACCTGGGCAGCTCAGCCAGTGAGTCGGGGTTGGGATGGGGAGTGGGGGAGAGGTGGGCCTGAGTGCGGCCTGAGCTGGGTGTGGCAGGCTGAGTCCTAGCACTGGCTGGAGACCCTTCATTGAGCTGATACCTTTTTTTTTTTTTTCTAAAGGCTTATTTTATTTTTATTTTAGAAGCAGAGTTATAGAGAGACAGAAAGAGAGATATCTTGTATCCATTGGTTCACTCCTCATATGGCTGTAGTGGCCTGGCCGGCCCGGCCCATCAGAAGCTACAAACCTAGAGCCTCCTCTGGGCATGCTTTCCCAGGGTATAAACAGGGAGCTGGATCAGAAGTGGAGCAGCTGGATTCAAACCAGTGCCCATAGGGGAATGCTGGCATCACAGGCAGAGGCTTAATGTGCTGTGCCACCATGATGGCCCTTCTTTTTTCGTTTTCCTTTTTGAAATCTTTATTTGAAATAAATATTCAAGTATTTATTTGAAAGATAGATCTGCCATCTACTGGGTCACTCCCCAAATACCCACAACTGCCAGGGCTGGGCCAGGCTGAAGCCAGGAGCCTGAAGCTCCATCTCAGACTCCCACAGCCTGCTCTGGCTGCTTCCCAGGGTGCACGTAATCAGGGAGCAGCTAGGGAGTTTGTGGGGGGAGTGCCAAGATTCACCCCCAGGCCCTGCAGTGAGGTGTCCCCCAGGCCCTGAGGCTGTGAGGTGTCCCCCTGGTGGCTCCACTACAGCACCACATGCTTGCCCCCAGGTTCCTGTTTGAGGACTGGGGGTTGAAAGCAGAGGTCATGGCCCGGGAGCTGCCTGGGAGGAGCTGCCTCACCCAGGGCTGTGTAGGGCTGAGTAGGCTGGCACCCGTGGGTTGTGTTTGGGGTAGGGCCATGGTCAGCTTGTGTGACCCCCATCCTTGGTGAGTTAGAGTATCATTCCCAGACTCTGTTCCTGTTTGTCACGTTCTCATTGGAAAACGAAACAAAATTCAAGAGACAGAAAGGGGTAGTGAAAAGGAGCACTCCCCCTTCTGTCTGCCCAGAAGGGGTGCTCTACCTGAGCTTTGCATTTTGGTCTCCGTTCAAGGAGTCAGGGGTGTGTGTGTGTGTGTGTGTAGATGTGGCCAGTGTGTCTTTCTCTTTACCTCGCAAATTTATGTAGTACTGCCTGTACCTTACCTTTCCACTTAAAAAAATAGGTATTTTTTAAGTTTTGCTTTATGTATTTTAAAGGCAGAGCTACACAGAGAGAAGGGCAAGGGTTATGGCTGGGTCAGGCTAGACAGCCAGCAGCCAGGAACTCCATCTAAGTCTCCACATGGGTTACAGGGACCCAAGCACTTGGGCCATCTTCTGCTGCTTTCACAAGCACCCTAGCAGCAAGCTGGATTGGAAGTGGAACAGCCTGGACTTGAAACACCACTCCTTAAAAAAAAAAACACATTCATTTTATTTTTGATGAGGGTTGCATGCCCATTTGGATCACCAGTTAGGGTGGGGAGGGTCGAGGAATGGGGCAAAGTGGATGGGACAACTGCCTCCAGTCTCCTCTTTTCTTTATATCTGGGGAAAGTGGAGAGAGAAGGGGAGAGAGCCGCTCCCAGCAGCCCAACCACATCAGTACTCAGGAATGGGGGACTATCACTCAGAGTCATGTCAGGGTCCCCAGTGTGGAGCATATTCCAAGGATACTGCTTAGGTGGTTTTGATAGTTCTGGAGATGCTGTTGATTTCGTTGCTCCTAGGTGGAGGAAATTCTTCCAAAGCCCATTGGCTGACATAATCCACCTTAGAGTCTTGATTTGCCCAGATACTTGTCCAGGAAAGCTGTCCAATTTGTTCTGCCTCTAAGGTACTGGATGTCCTTTGCAGGCCTCAATGAACTGGTTGTCATGTCTTCCATGTGCATCTGGACATGCCATCAACTGCACAGGCCTCAGCAACCATGGAGACCCAGTTCTGACATGTGTACTCCATGGTCAGACCACATATCCTGTGATTTTCATAACGGTTGGAGTTCTGAGTCCAGTGATGCAGTTGGGGGTGTCCCCAAAGAAACCTTGCCAAAAGTGACCCCAACCTAACTCCTATGTGTGCCGGCCAGTATAGCGTCTGGCTCAGTTCATCACCCATATTAGCCTATAGATACACTGGTGGTTATAGTGACCTGGTCAGCTCTGTGCCCGTCCCTATCTCATATGCAAACCAATGGATGCTGTGGCCAGACAAGCCCTGCCCACCACACAATTTGCCCTCATGTACACCAGTGGGGACTTCAGTCTAGTTGGAATGACCCCTAATAGCCTCCAGTAGGCCCACTTCCAGCCCTGGTTCCGGTGCATGCTGGCATGTGCAATGGACTGCTCTAGTCTGTCCCGCTCCCATTTAGCTCTTGTACACATCAATGGGCATTTGAGCCTAGCTCATCCCAACCCACCCCACTGTACAGCCCACACTCATGTCAACAGGTCAGTGCTACCAACTGTTTAGCCAGACCTCCAGCCTTGGTTCTCATGCTTATCAGTGGAAATTGCAACCCATTAGAGAGGTGCCCATAGCATCCCTACTAGGCCCATTCGAAGACCTGGATCTTAGGCTTTCCAGGTGATTCTATGGTCTAGTCTGACAGGACTTGCCCCCTAGTCCCAGCACTTGCCAGCTGATGCTGTGGCAAAGCTCAACCAGCCAGTACTTACTCTGGCTCATACCTGTGCCAATAGATACAGTCACTTAGCCCAGCCTGGTTCTCCCACTAACTCAGCTCACAGTCAGGCCAATAGGTGTCGTATCCCTTCTCAGCTTGGTCTGCCCCCAGTCTCACACTCACCAGCAGAAGAGCTGTGAGGGTTACCCTTCTGGGTTTGTCCCCCATCCTGGATCTTATGTATGCTGGTGAGTGCTGTAGCCCAGATTGGCATGGCCCACTTCACCTCAGCATTCACCAGCAGGTACTGCAGCCTAGCTTGGCCTGTTCCAGCTTATGCTGGAGGGTGCAGCAGCCTAGCCTAGCCCAGCCCAGTCAACCATCAGTCACAGCCCTAATGTGAACTGGCTGGAATTGTGGTCCAACTTGGCCTATCCTGCATCCTGACTTAGTTCTTACATCTGCCAGTGGGTACTATGAACTGGCCCAGGCTGGCCCACCCCTAGACTTGACCCACACATATGCTGGTGAGTACAGTGACTTGGCCTGATCTGGGCTGCTCCCAGCCTTGGTTCTTGCACTCACCAGCAGGGACTACATCCTGACAGAGGAGTTCCCCAAGCTCCTCTTTCAGGACCCCTCCCAGTGGCAGATCTTACACACACAGGTGGGTTCTTGGCCCAGCCTACCTTGGCCCGCTTCCTGTCCTGGCAGGTATAGTGGCCTTGCTTGAATAGCCCATACCCATTCTGGCCCTTAATATTAGGTGCTACAGTCTAGCCCTGCCTGGTCCACCCCCAGACCCAGCTTTTACATGGTTCAGCAGGTATGGAGACCTAGCCCAGCCTGTCCTACAGCAGCCTTGGCTGTTGGGAGCACCAGGTGCTGGAGCACAGCTCAGTTTGGCAAACCTCAGACCTAGTCCATACCCATGCTGAGGTGCGCTACAGCCATGTCCAGCCCAGATCACCACCCCCTTTCCAGCTCCCATGCTTACTAATGGGAACTGCAGCCCAATAGGGGCATCCCCTTAGCTCCCCATCCCAAGCTTGCTCCCAGCCATGGATCTTGCATATGCCAGTGGTTGCTTTGACCTTGCCTGGCATAACCTATCACCCAGCTTGGCCTTTGCCATCAGATGTTACAGCCTGGCCTGGCCTGGCCTGACCTTCTTGCAGGCCCCAACTCTCACTGGTAGGTGCGCAGCCTTGCCTTGCCCATCCTGCCACGCCCCCCCCCCCCCCCCAATCCCTGGCTTTCATGCAAACCAGTAGGTGTGATAGCCTAGCCTTGTTCAGCACAGCCTGTACCCCATTCTGGCTCCCACATATGCCAGTGTGCTATGGTTTGGCCTGGCCCTGCCCAGGCCACTCTCTACAGAGCCAACTTACATACCTGCTATAAATAAAGCCTGGCCTGACCAACACCCAGCCCTAACTCAAGTGCTCACCAGTGGGCGCAACGGCCTACAGAGGGAGTTTCCAGGCCCCACTCCCAGACTCAGATCTCACTTCTGCTAGGCCCCTAACCTGGTATAGTCTGCCCCGTGGTCTTGGCCCTTTTATGAGTTGGTGGATATTGTGGCTTGGTCTACCCCACACTCAATTCTTGGGTGTGCCTGTGGATGTTACAACCTGGACCAGCCCAGCCTGTTCCCAACCCCAGTACCTGTGAATGTTGTTGAGTTCCATGGTCAGGCCTAACTCAGCCCATCACCATGCCCAGCCTGTGAGCAAACCAGCTAGTATGGCAGTCCTACAGGGTGAGCTTACGATTCCCTACAGAATCTGCTCCCAGACACTGTTCTCTCATGAGCTGGTTGATGTCATGGCCCAGCCTAAAGTGGTCTACTCCCAACACTCCCTGATGGGTATTGTGCTCAGGCCCAGCTCAGGTCTCCCACATGGGCTGGTGTATTGGTTTGCCCCCAAAAGTCCTCCAGTTACCCTCCTCTAAACCACCTGGTCTTAACCCCCTCTTTTACTTGTAAGTGCAGTAGTCAGGTTGCTGGAGGTCCCCCCGAAGTCACTCCTCACCTGTCATGTTCTCCCTCAGCAGACCTTCATCCCACACATCTCCAGACCTGCTTCTCTGAGCAATCCACAACCCCCCAATGCCTGTAGATCCCCAAGCCTGGTCTTCTGGCAGTGTGCTGTGCCAGCCTGGGACCCTGCCTGCCTATCAGGGCTCATGCACACTTGGGTACGGTTGCCCTGTTGGTGTGGCGACACCCGTTCCCCCATATATTAAAAAAAAAAAATAGAATAGGTATAGTTAACACAGATTTGGCATCAACCAGGTCCAGAATGTCCTCCAGCTCTTAGCTGCTTTTCTCCCAGCAGTGTAGCACTTGCCTAGGTACAATGTAACCTAGG